GGAGAATGGTAGCCCTCTACAATTTACTCTCTTTAAGAATTCTGAGGACAATTCTAAACAAGTTTGACTAGAAGCTCCAGGTAATTCCGAGAAGCATTTCAAAAAATTTCGGCAGAACTAAAAGCGGTTTCCAAGGTACTTTTATCGGGATTATGAGTAGAATTCCTGAGAATTCTAAAGCATCTTTGGAGGACAAAACTAATGATTATATGGATACAATTCTGACACTACCCTAAATGGTTGCCTACGACTGAAAATTCTTGAAAATTAATTCATTAAGCAATCAAAATGGAGATCTCCAATTGAATATCGATAATAATTCCAAAAGATCTTCATTCCGACTATAATTTCAAAAATAATTGCATAATTTTAAGTTAGTTTAAGATGGTGCTAAGGATTATCCGGTGGGGTCGCTAGAGCAAATTTTGAAAAATATAAAAAAATTACAGGAGATTTTGAAGAAATTTACAATTCTAAGAAGAATTTCCGAGGAAATTCCAAAAGCTTCTCTCATCGCCATTTTCAGAAAATTCTCAATTCTCAAAAGAAATCCACGACTTCAAATACTAATCCGCGACACAAAAAGCTGTTTTCATTGCCTAAAAATTAACATTTGAAAACTACTACATGGCATTTCAAGCTTATTGCTTATAGCATATTAGATTTTTGCCTGCTCTCAACTAAAGGGTGTCCACGATGAAATTGCCACACACAAAATTGATTCGCAAAATTCGAGTTTTCATCCGATTGCCATCAAATTTTCAGGGATTGAGAAATAACTATTATACTTCATTTTACCATTTTACTCGTATTTTATTTACAGTCCATACGCAAATGCCCGCACCTTGGCCTTAACCCCGGCCATAAGATTCTGCACAACCTGTGAATCAACCGTTTTTTGCATGTAAACCCATACTTTCTTCAGTTCCTCGACTGTCTTCACTACCTTAGGTCGTTTAAGAAGGTGCTGCTTCATAATCGCCCAGTACTTCTCGATGGGGCGGAGCTCCGGACCTTATTGTCCGCATACCACTTCAGCACGTCCTTGGAGTAGTGGCATGAGGCCAAATCCGGCCAGAAGATTGTTGGGACGTTGTGGGCCTTCAGGAGAGGAAGCAGCCGCTTCTGGAGGCACTCTTTTATGTACACCTGTCCGTTCATCGTGTCCTGGGTCACGAAAGGTGCACTCCGCTTCCCGCACGTGCAGATGGCTTGCCAAACCAGGAATTTCTTCGCAAATTTGGACATCTTCTGAGTGCGGACATGCTCCGGAACGCTGAACTTATCCTTGGCCGTGAAAAACTGGTTGCCGGGGATCTGTTTGAAGTCGGCCTTCACATATGTTTCGTCGTCCATGATGCAGCATTCAACTTTCGACAGCATGTTGAGGTACAACTTCCTGGCACGGGTTTTGGCGGACTTGTTCTGCTTCTCGTCGCGATTAGGGGCCTTTTGTACCTTGAACGTTCGAAGCCCAGCCTTAGTTTTGGCCTTCTGGACAAAACTTCGGCTTAGGTGCAGCTTCTTAGCCACATCCCTAACGGAGGCGTTCGGATTTCGGTTGAAGGCCCCAACTACGCGGTTGTTATTTTTGGTGTTGTACGGAATACTTTTTCCTTCACTTCTGGGCTTCCGATCGGTGGTCAACCGTTCCTCGAACCGCTTAATCACTCGCGACACCGTGGAATTCACGATTCCCAACGTTTTAGCGATGGAACGATGCGAGAGATCCTTGTTCTCGTGATGAATGCGCAAGATTTTATCACGCACGAGCTGTTCTTTCGACTCCATTTCCGCGAGTTTTGATCACAGGACTTTAAAACTTGCAGGATGTAAATAATGCACTATGAACTAAATCCACCCAAATTTTCATTAAATTCTACCCAACGGTTAAAAAGTTAGAGCAATTTCATAGTGTGGCAATTTCATCGTGGACACCCTTTAAGTGTTCATTGAAGTACTTTCACGTTTTAATTGAGAGCTTTCTATGCCTGTACCATCCTATGCCCAAGGAAGTAGAGAAATTTTCCAACCCGAAAAATTAATAAACCAGACGGGAATCGAACTCAGTCGCCTCCAGCATGGACTTGCTTTGTAGCTGCGCCTTTACCGACTGAGCTAAAGGAGTTTGTAACCTTTGAAAAAAAAAATCTTCAGTTATTTATGTATAGTATAAATTCTGAGTAATTAGTGAACATAATAAAACAACCCTTACATTATGAGATTCTGTTGAATAATTCCGGCATTTAGCATTTAGGCATTTAGGACAAGAGTTTTTTTTTAAACCTCCAGTGAGTTTGAGGTCTCCAGACCAATTTACGTAGAAATCCCAAGAGCTGCTGGAACTTTGTGAGCTCTAAATTAAAATCGACGAATCCGTATTTCTTGGCGATTCGGAGTCTACTTCTTTGCCCGAATCTTATGATTCAGTGGATTCAGTCGTCAATACAGATGAAGTAGAAAGAGCTGCTTGCAATGTTCATGAGGTTTCAACGGGTCTTGATGGTGTAACTGCAATCATTTTTTGCCGCTGTGTTGCTGCATTAGCTGATCCTCTGGCTTGCATCTTTACCGCTTCGTTGGACCAAGGAGTTTTTCCCGAAATATTGACACATTCGTTTAGGTTCCTTGTTTATAAGAAGGGCGACAAACGTGACGTGACTAGCTAACGTGGTATAACAAGTCTTTCTGCAGCTTCGAAATTATTCGAGATCATTGTGAACGATGCTATCTTCTATCATGTCAAAAGCAATGCAACACGGATTTATACCAGGACGTTCAGTTTCATCAAATTCATTGGAGTTCACCTCAACTTCTATCAATCACTTGGAAAATAGGGCTCAAGTAGATACCGCTTATACTGAGCTAAAAGTGGCCTTCGATTGCATCGATCATGGTATTCTTCTTCGGAAAATGTCTCGTCTGGGAGTTGCGGACGGTTTGGTTGACTAGCTGAAATTGCACCTTTCCAATAGAATGAAATGTCATCGCACAAGGACGCCAATCGTATTCGATTACTCAATTGATGGATTTGTACTCGACAGAGTAGAACAAGTAAGCGACCTAGGTGTAATGTTGGACTCTAAGCTTACGTTTGACTTACATCGTTCGATGGTAGTCACTAAGGCATATCGTCAGCTTGGGTTCTAATCAAGAATCTCAAGAGATTTTTCGGATCCGTTTAAAGGCACTGTACTGTTCACTTGTCACTTGTCCGATTCTTGAGACTGCATCTCCAGAACAACATGTGAAAAGGGCATACAAGCTTTTTGTAAACAAACCTTCTTATGCCCTTTTCTCGCCACACATATGACACCAACGCAAACCTTTAACATCACCGGGTAGGGGGCACTTTACCCTTCCCGATGATATTGCTGGTTTGCGTGGGCGACCCTCGGTTGGTGAGAAAAGGGCTTACAAAGGTTTGTTTGCAAAAAGCTTGTATGCCCTTTTCACATGTTGTTCTGGATCTGTAGTTTGGATTCCATGACAATTTTCCTAGAGCATTAGAATAAAACGTATTCAAAAAACATTCATTCATCGAGCATTGAGGCAACTTCCTTGGAGAGATCCACTAAACTTACCTCCGTATGATGAGAGATGTCGCTTACTAAGCATGGATACTTTAGAACGACGGCGATAAATTCAACAGGCAACATTCGTCGCGAAGCTATTAAGACTCTGAACTATTTGGTGGATTATTTTAACTTTTGGTTAAAATTTGACAGATGGAAAGTTATCGATTAATCCTGCTATCTGAGCGTGGTTACTTCTGACCAAGGAATCAAAAATATCTCTAAATGACAAAATAACAAGCGATCAACTAACCGAATAATAACGCTATGTCAGAAGTGGAAAGCAATAATGATATAATCTTCACCGTTCTTTTTCATGACAAGCAGCCCGTGCGACACAACTCATTCGGGGCGACCAGAACCAACCTTAATTCTACGACTTATCAGGAGTTTCTGGAACATCCCCAAGCTTTGCAGAACTTTTCTGAGCTTCCCTGAAGTTCAGGGATTTTTTAGAGAATTTGCAGGAAACATCTACACATGTCAAACAATATCTTGAGAAGTTTAGGAAACAGAAAAACAGTGAACTTCTGGAATGTTCTCATTTTTGTTTATAGAATTTCAAGAAACTACAAGGTATTTTAGGGAACTTGAGACAACTTTCATTCACAACAAAACTAACTTTTGAAAAATAGGGTGTTAAAGTAATTTATTCTCACGGTCTATAGGCCAAAAGAAGTAGTAAACAAAACACCAGTAAATTGGAACTTGCTCTTTGAAATAAACAGTAATGACTGTTTGTTTTAGTTCACTCAAATTGAATCTGTTTTACGACTCTAATAACAAAGTCTCACCAATCAATCCAAACTACTTTAATTTTATGTTCTAACTACAAACGGAACCCTCGGCGAAAACAACTACCAAATACGGGATTTGTGCTCTTGTTTTCCGTTCAAACCGGTCGTAAACTTCTACTAGAACACTGGGCCTATGATTTGAATCAAAATCAATGTCTCATCGAGAACGATCGCAACAGCCCCTATCCCCCAATAGCACGAACGTGAGGCGAGCGGTGAAGCATCCGGAGCGGACGGAAGTGGTCGACCTCCACAGCCTCCAAACCTCAACCGCGCTCAGCCCGTAAAAATATAGGCACGCTCACATATAATCTAAATATTGTGTTTTTTTTTCCTCCAATTCATCGTTCCACAGCGCCGACAGCCACACACACACGACCAGATCGCTCACCTTAGAGCTTCGCGCTTGTGGTCGTCGTCATCATTGTCGTGACTGCTGGAACTGTTGAATCAACTATATCAGACTACGGCAATTTCGCCTTATTCGATTGTTGAATATATTATATGCACCGGAGATTGATTTAAATCTACTTCCACCTGTCCTCTGCCTATTCGAGTTGGATCTTAATCCTCCCCCATTCGAATATAGAATATTGATTCTGATCAGCATAAGAAACGAAATAATTACCTTCTTTTTATTGGTTGTTTCCTTTACTCCGTAGAAATTTTATTACTAATTTCCGACTTCCTGAATATGGATCACCTTCTATTCGACACTTGATCCAGCAGTCGGGTACTATCTCAACTATTCCAAAGTTTACAGTTCCACTTAAAATATTCACACCTGACGTTGTTGATACTGCTGATATTGATAATCATTCACTTTTGGTCTACATGACGAAAACAACGTCGACTACGTACAGCAAGTGTTGATAAAGAAAACATTCACTTTGACAGCTCATTTTCGCTTCATGTTGTTTTTCTTCCCCCCACAAGCGTCGGTCGGACGATGATGGCACAAACGGTATCACTTTTCCGGACTTCCCAACTTTTACTCGCACCGAAAACACTCACTTTTGTCACCTTTCTTGCACCCGCACAAACACAATTTTCACCACTAAAAAAAAAAGAACGGATAAATTAGAACACAACAAACGGCAACGGAGATCGGTTCTAGCAGCACAAAAAGAATCCAGCTAGCGGAATCGAAAATGGAAAGAATGGCTCGACCGCGGGGCAAACAAAGCTCGCTCGGTCCGAACCGACCTGCTGCTTCTATGAGTTGAAAACTGAACTGACAGACAGAAGTGCTGGTTGCTTGCAACAAACAGTCCAGTGCAGTGCAGAGAAACACCAAAACGGATAGAACCGTTGTTTGCACGACGACGTCCGTTGGGGCCGACAGCACAGACACAAGTACATTGTCAGTGCACCATGGTGTGAAAACTGAAAAATCAACAAAGCGAGCGGATCATTTTAAACGAGAGAGTGTTTGTTAACGGGAGAGCGCTAAAACAAACTGTCAAAGTGACAGAATAGCGGAATATTTTCCCTGCCGAACAGTGTGTTTCGTTCGAAATCGTTGAAGCATACAAGGAGAAAAAATACTACCCAACATTTGAGTTCTTTTTACTTAATATTGTGTTCAGCTTCTCACTTGCACCATAGAGGTAACTCTAAGACTAGTAGGTCCCGAAGAAACGTGCTCAACTTTTTGGCTCAGCTCTGGTACTATCTTCGGTCCCAAGCTAATCGATTAACCCCTCGAAACATCGGAAAATCCACTAACCCCTCATTTTATCTGTCAAACTTTCATACCGAATCAAAACAAACATAGTGTAGTACTAAAATTTTGACTAGAATGGGGTACGGTTATCGATTTGCTTGGGACCAATAGGCTAGTCAAGTAGTGAGCAAATTTAAAATCGTTAGTTTCGTATTGATTGTTGCTTGCACTCATTATTGTTGTCAAAAAAGGAACGAGAGATTTGACCCAACGATATTTATAGTTCAGCTCAATAAGTTACTTTTGAGTAAATTGCATATTCTCTAATTTACGTGAATTAAACTTAATTGTGGGTAGATTATACTTAATAGTAGGTAATTTTTTTGCTGGAACTACTCTATGCGATTTACTCAATTTTGGGTTATTGGGCTGAACTCCGGAATTGAGGGAAAAGTATTTAATTTTGGGTAGTTTTTCATCTCCGTGTACATGGTACGAAAAAAATACCCAACGTCCAGTTCACTTTTACCTACTTTTGACTAGTTTGTCTCCTTTTCTCTTTCTAATGTTGTCAAAAACGGAGGAGCAAAACCACCCAACAGGGGTAGAAAAGTGTGGGAATCCCAAGGGGTAAGTCACTCAGCACATTGTGCCGAAATTATATTCTACACAGCTTGGGCACATCCATCGGCATATTTTTGGCATACTTTCGGCACAATCTCGTAGGCATTAGATTGTTGTTAATAAAATGGGAGCACTGCTGAACAACTGTCATTCAAGTTGTTCAGAACATTACGTGCTGTTTCACTGTATGTTCAGGAACATCTTCTAATTGAATATACCAGAGGAACAGCAGTTCTCTTATAGATCTAAATACGAAATGTAGGTTCTAGAGTGGGCTCAAGAGAAAGAGGCAGTTAATCAGACCTCATTAGTACCCTTAATTCTAACGAAACTAAAGAAGCTTATTCATAATCCTCTATAGTCGGTCTCCAACAATGCTCCCCACCGGTTCCAACTCTTTCCGGCCGAAAGGTTAGGTTTCTGGTCTGCCTTTGAGGGCATTATAAAACCGAGTATAAAACACTAAAACACGCGAGTTTTATTACCCTATGGATCACAAATCACCGAAATTTCGCACACCAGCTACTTCCCGCGTCATCCTCAATCCAATTTATCCTTGCGATTTCAAACCAAAACATTCAAGGTGTCAGAAATACCGGGTTGCCGGGATGGATATTTTACTAACAATCGCAGCTTGCTCTATGACCGGTACAATCGGCATACTTGCGGCACACTGACAAAAAAGATGACCCAAGATTGGTGTGCGGAGTGACCTACCCCTAGGGGAATCCAACGTTGAGTATTATCATATTTACCTGCTTTTTGGTACAACTAACTCACTTTTGGGTAGAAAGCGAGTGGAAAATTCCATACGAATTAACCACTTCATTCGAGCAGTTAAAATGACGTTTACTACCACTCAAACTGTGAAATAAAACATTATTTTGAGATTTTTTCTTCTAGAACCACGAGAACAGTAGCCAACATTTGTGCGTTTCATAAAAAAATAGAAATTAGTTGGTCCAGTTTTGTGAAATCGCTGGTAGAAGGTCAAGCCAAAACTGCTTGACAAAGTGGTCAATTCTCGCGTCACTTTTCAAATAGACCAATGTAACATATCCACCATTTTGAGAAAATCAAAGTTGAAGTTCGACAGATTATTATTTTAACTGTTTAAAAACAATACATTTTGCAATACTATTTTTAATGTAGACAGTGTACAATAACGTTGAAAATTCAGAAGAAACGGTAAAATCACAATTTTACTTTGAATTTCATGCTACAACATAGAAAAAACCACATAGGACGTTTTGACAAGTCGAGTTGTACATCGGACATGTTACATTGGACGATTTTTCTCAATGACATAATCAATGAGTGTTACATTGGACGTTTTGTCTACATGATACTAGATTCCCTTTCACAGATTTCAGGGTATAGTACCTAACTTTAGATTGGCCCCGCCTTTTAAAAATGAGCACCAATCATGTTAGGCAGTCCGAATGACCGAAGTAACAATCATATACTCATCATTTCAAACTGTACATTGGACAATTTTTGATCGATGATTTTCTTAAATAAATGAAAGTAAATTTGGATGGATGTTTTTGTATCACATACAATGATAGAAGAGCAATAGCTTGTATCGCTTAACTCGATTTGTTTACATTTGTTACATTGGTCTATTTGAAAAGTGACGCGAGAATTAACCACTTTATTCGAGCACTTAAAATGACGTTTACTACACGGCGAATGAGAACGACTCAAATTTGAGTTTAGTTCACTCATAATCGCCAAAATAACGGCGCCGGTGGTGTAGTGGTAAGCGTGATTACCTCTCACCCCAGCAGGCCTGGGTTCAATCCCAGTCGGCGCCACCGGGATGTTCTGAGGCATAACATCTCTGATCACGCCTTCCTTCGGATGGGAAGTAAAGCCGTTGGTCCCCGGTTCATGAGTTGATGGGTCGATAGGTAGGGTCCAGGTGTGAGAGCTGCCTTCCTGGCACGTCGGTAGCATTGGTGCTCAGCACGGAAAACAAGATCGATGGAAAAAACAAACCAAAGAAAAAAAAAAATAATCGCCAAAAGTGCAGGGGCTCAGCGATGAGTAAAATTTGTCTCAAGGTTTCCTGTGGAAAACCTAAAAAATCCTAAGTTGGGATTATATCCCGAATTGGTGGTTAGGCGTTTTTTTATGGTTATTGTTTATGCGGGCTATCAGCAGCTAGGTATACAACTCTAACAAATAGTTCGTTGGTATCATTAAATACAGAATTATCATTTTCATAATATTTTTTTTTATATTCTTCCTGGACGAAACAATTTATATAAAAAGCATTCATGGGGAATTCATTCGTTTCTTCCGAAATGGGTATGGCTTACTCACTTGACAAACGTCATAATCTGAGTAGCCGTTACCCAGTTTCCTCAATAGGCACGTTTACTCGAGGGGGGCGACACATCGAAAATGTCGTTTAGCTTCAACTCTATTTACATATGATTTTCTTGTTCAGTGTAGATTTGCAGGATTCCGTTTCCTACCGTTTCCTACTGTTCGCTGGCATCTACTTTTTCGATGTTGCAGTCGTTGCAGTAGATAGAAGTCGTACAGTAGGTACAGTTTGAGTAAAAGCATGTTTACTAATTTTTGAGTAACTTCCCTTTTGGCTGGACTGAGTGACTCAAAAATGAGTAGTCTCAAAATAGCGTTCAGCAAACGTCAATAGATGTGTATTTTTTACAAATTTTCCAAGAACGGTTTTAACAGCAAAATGTGTAAAAAGTTATCATTTCTATTTCTATTTCTATAGGCCTTATTTATAATGGGTGCGCATGTTTTTTTATTACCTTCGGAATTTTCTTATTTGTGTCAATGATAAAATAAAGATTGCTCGGATACAATACTATTTTATTAAATTAAAAAAAGAAATGCCATCAGCAAAAATCAATAGCAGCACCGGTGCTGAAGTGGTAAGTATGATCACCTCTCACCCCAGCAGGCCTGGGTTCACTCCCAGTTGGCGCCGCTGGGATGTTCTGAGGCATAACATCTCTGACCACGACCATTGATTATGATTTTTTTTTCTATAACTTCGCTATGAAAATAATATAATATATGGGACCGTAGTTCCTCCATTTTCCTGCTGTTCTTCACTGAAAATATAGCAAATGGCGTGCGTCAACAAAGCAGGATGCAGCAAAGTTTGAAGTTTTTTTTACCCATTAATGAGTATAAAAACACACATTTTTTACAGATACTACATTCTTAAAATATTTTTTTTCACACATTTTAGGATCTCCAAATTTACACATTTATGTGTATTTTTTACTCATTTATGCGCTTACACTGGTTACCGTGTATAGGGGTGAAATACACGGTAACCGCAAAATACCCAATAATGACTACAAAGGAAGCATTTTCGAGGGAAACTGGGACTACCCATTAAATGAGTAAAATTTTACCATTTTGTGAGTAATTACAACTACAAAAGTAAGTAGTAAGTATTCATTTGTGAGTAACAAATACTCATAAAAGGGTAATATTTTAACTCATTTAATAGGTAGTCCCAGCCTCCCTCGAAAATTTTTCGCGTACTTTGTTGTCAATATCGAGTCTTTTATAGTCATTATTGGGTATTTTGCGGTTACCGTGTAGCTCTGTGAACGCAGCCGGGCGAATAACCTCCCACACGGTTAGAAAAAAGTACCCAAAATTAAGTTCTTTTCACTCATCTCGGCACTATAGTGCAGGAACCCAATAGTAGGTAAAGCGGGTCAAAGTAATTTTGATTTACTTGTGTGCAGTTCGTATGGAATTTTCCACTAGCTTTTTAACCAAAAGTAAGTTAGTTGTACCCAACAGTAGGTAAATATGATTATACCCAACGTTGGGTTCCCACACTTTACTACCCCTGTTGGGTGGTTTTGCTCCTTCTTTTTTGACAACATTAGAAGGAGAAAATGAGACAAACTAGTCAAAAGTAGGTAAAAGTGAACTGGCCGTTGGGTACTTTTTTCTTACCGTGCAGGGTGACACAAGATACTATAAATCAAAAGGGCGCATGCAACATTTTCATTTTTTCGA